TTGTAGAATGTATTAGACTTTTATTTGATTTAATTAGCTTTGTTTGAATGTATTTGACTCTTATTTGATTCAAATAGCTTTGTTTGAATGTGTTTGACTTTCATTTGATTAAAATAGCTTTGTTTGAATGTGTTTGACTTTCATTTGATTCGATTTGCTTTGTAGAATGTATTTGACTCTCATTTGATTCAAATAGGTTTGTTTGAATGTGTTTGACTTTCATTTGATCAATTTGCTTTGTTTAAATGTGTTCGACTTTTATTTGATTCAAATAGCTTTGTTTGAATGTGCTTGACTTTCATTTGATTCAAATAGCTTTGTAGAATGTATTTGACTTTCATTTGATTAAAATAGCTTTGTTTGAATTTGTTTGACTTTCATTTGATTCAAATAGCATTGTTTGAATGTGCTTGACTTTCATTTGATTCAACTAGCTTTAAAGAATGTATTTGACTTTCATTTGATTAAAATAGCTTTGTTAGAATGTGTTTGACTTTCATTTGATTCAATTTGCTTTGTAGAATGTATTTGACTTTCATTTGATTTTAATAGCTTTGTTTGAATGTGTTTGACTTTCATTTGATTCAATTAGCTTTGTAGAATGTATTTGACTTTCATTTGATTTAAATAGCTTTGTTTGAATGTGTTTGACTTTCATTTGATTCAAATAGCTTTGTAGAATGTGTTTGACTTTCATTTGATTCAAATAGCTTTGTTTGAATGTGTTTGACTTTCATTTGATTAAAATAGCTTTGTTTGAATGTGTTTGACTTTCATTTGATTCGATTTGCTTTGTAGAATGTATTTGACTCTCATTTGATTCAAATAGGTTTGTTTGAATGTGTTTGACTTTCATTTGATCAATTTGCTTTGTTTAAATGTGTTCGACTTTTATTTGATTCAAATAGCTTTGTTTGAATGTGCTTGACTTTCATTTGATTCAAATAGCTTTGTAGAATGTATTTGACTTTCATTTGATTAAAATAGCTTTGTTTGAATTTGTTTGACTTTCATTTGATTCAAATAGCATTGTTTGAATGTGCTTGACTTTCATTTGATTCAACTAGCTTTAAAGAATGTATTTGACTTTCATTTGATTAAAATAGCTTTGTTAGAATGTGTTTGACTTTCATTTGATTCAATTAGCTTTGTAGAATGTATTTGACTTTCATTTGATTTTAATAGCTTTGTTTGAATGTGTTTGACTTTCATTTGATTCAATTAGCTTTGTAGAATGTATTTGACTTTCATTTGATTTAAATAGCTTTGTTTGAATGTGTTTGACTTTCATTTGATTCAAATAGCTTTGTAGAATGTGTTTGACTTTCATTTGATTCAAATAGCTTTGTTTGAATGTGTTTGACTTTCATTTGATTAAAATAGCTTTGTTTGAATGTGTTTGACTTTCATTTGATTCGATTTGCTTTGTAGAATGTATTTGACTCTCATTTGATTCAAATAGCTTTGTTTGAATGTGTTTGACTTGCATTTGATTCAATTTGCTTTGTTTAAATGTGTTCGACTTTTATTTGATTCAAATAGCTTTGTTTGAATGTGCTTGACTTTCATTTGATTCAAATAGCTTTGTAGAATGTATTTGACTTTCATTTGATTAAAATAGCTTTGTTTGAATTTGTTTGACTTTCATTTGATTCAATTAGCTTTGTAGAATGTATTTGACTTTCATTTGATTAAAAAAGCTTTGTTTGAATGTGTTTGACTTTCATTTGATTCAACTAGCTTTGTAGAATGTATTTGACTTTCATTTGATTAAAATAGCTTTGTTTGAATGTGTTTGACTTTTATTTGATTCAATTAGCTTTGTTTGAATGTGTTTGACTTTCATTTGATTCAATTAGCTTTGTAGAATGTATTTGACTTTCATTTGATTAAAATAGCTTTGTTTGAATGTGCTTGACTTTCATTTGATTCAAATAGCTTTGTTTGAATGTGTTTGACTTTCATTTGATTCAAATAGCTTTATAGAATGTATTTGACATTTATTTGATTTAAATAGCTTTGTTTGAATGTGTTTGACTTTCATTTGATTCAATTAGCTTTGTAGAATGTATTTGACTTTCATTTGATTAAAATAGCTTTGTTTGAATGTATTTGACTTTCATTTGATTCGATTAGCATTGTAGAATGTATTTTACTTTCATTTGATTCAAATAGCTTTGTTTGAATGTGTTTGACTTTCATTTGATTCAAATAGCTTTATAGAATGTGTTTGACATTTATTTGATTTAAATAGCTTTGTTTGAATGTGTTTGACTTTCATTTGATTCAATTAGCTTTGTAGAATGTATTTAACTTTCATTTGATTAAAATAGCTTTGTTTGAATGTATTTGACTTTCATTTGATTCGATTAGCTTTGTAGAATGTATTTGACTTTCATTTGATTCAAATAGCTTTGTTTGAATGTGTTTGACTTTCATTTGATTCAAATAGCTTTATAGAATGTATTTGACATTTATTTGATTTAAATAGCTTTGTTTGAATGTGTTTGACTTTTATTTGATTAAAATAGCTTTGTTTGAATGTGTTTGACTTTCATTTGATTCGATTTTCTTTGTAGAATGTATTTGACTTTTATTTGATTCAAATAGCTTTGTATGAATGTGTTTGACTTTCATTTGATTCAATTTGATTTGTAGAATGTATTTGACTTTTATTTGATTTAATTAGCTTTGTTTGAATGTATTTGACTGTCATTTGGTTCAAATAGCTTTATTTGAATGTGTTTGACTTTCATTAGATTCAAATTCCTTTGTTTAAATGTGCATGACTTTCATTTGATTCAACTAGCTTTAAAGAATGTATTTGACTTTCATTTGATTAAAATAGCTTTGTTTGAATGTGTTTGACTTTCATTTGATTCAATTAGCTTTGTAGAATGTATTTGACTTTCATTTGATTTAAATAGCTTTGTTTGAATGTGTTTGACTTTCATTTGATTCATTTAGCTTTGTTTGAATGTGTTTGACTTTCATTTGATTCAAATACCTTTATAGAATGTATTTGACATTTATTTGATTTAAATAGCTTTGTTTGAATGTGTTTGACTTTCATTTGATTAAAATAGCTTTGTTTGAATGTGTTTGACTTTCATTTGATTCGATTTGCTTTGTAGAATGTATTTGAACTTTATTTGATTCAAATAGCTTTGTTTGAATGTGTTTGACTTTCATTTGATTCAATTGGCTTTGTAGAATGTATTTGACTTTTATTTGATTTAGTTAGCTTTGTTTGAATGTATTTGACTCTCATTTGATTCAAATAGCTTTATTTGAATGTGTTTGACTTTCATTTGATTCAAATTCCTTTGTTTGAATGTGTTCGACTTTCATTTGATTCAAATAGCATTGTTTGAATGTGCTTGACTTTCATTTGATTCAACTAGCTTTAAAGAATGTATTTGACTTTCATTTAATTAAAATAGCTTTGTTTGAATGTGTTTGACTTTCATTTGATTCAATTAGCTTTGTAGAATGTATTTGACTTTAATTTGATTAAAATAGTTTTGTTTGAATGTGTTTGACTTTCATTTGATTCAACTAGCTTTGTTGATGTGGATCAAGAGGGAAATTCTTTTGAAGAGCCAATCATATTGGTTTTAAGGCCAATAGGGTTCGAGCTTGGAGTAAAGAATCAAGAATGGCTAACATGCGCAGCCATTGAAGAAGAAGTCAAGGTCCAGTTGGGTTCCGACGACGGCAGCGGCGGCGACGCGCCGATCTGGGTGCCACGCGCCGGCTCCCTAGCTCCGGCCTGAGTCCAGCTACACGGCGGTGGGGCGCGTGTCGATGATGGCGGCGCGTGAGACGGTGGTTCCGCGGCAGTACGAAAAGAAAGATTTTCTATACTTAGTTTTTTCTAGAGTTTTTGCTTGCAAGTTTTTACCTTTCACTTGAAAGGGTTTTTCTTGGTTTAAGCAATTAGGAATCTTCTTAATTTCTGTTATTTTAGTTTAAAATAATTTCTAAGTCAATTAGGAATTGTTTTAAGAAGTTTTAGTTTAATTAGAACTAGTCTTATTACTAGTTTCCTAGTTCCATTAGAATTGGGTTTCCTATTCTATCTAGGATACTTGGGGATCAAGGCTAGGGTTTTTTTTTCCTAGTTCGAATAGACTTAGGAATAGTTAGTTTAGGCTATAAATAAGGGATTTTTCGTGGCTTGGTATACACAACCAAAACCAGAAAATTCAATACAAGTTTATTGTTTGTTTTGCTTAATTGCTTACAAATTCTTTTGCTAGTTTTCAATTCAAGGAGTTGTTTTGATAATTAGAACGTTCAATTCTTAGTTCTAGGAGTAGTCTAAGTTTTGTTCATCAGAGTACTTAGTTCCAGGAGTGGTCTAGGTAATTTGAGAGACGTTGAATTCGTTCCAGGAGTGGTCGTTTTCAAAGTCATATCCGGTTCGTTATTCTTAAGTTGTTCGATTTTCTTAGGAAATTCGAAGGGCTTGTGTTACTTGTGTGATTTTAGATTCTTTATTAAGTTAAGGGGTTTAAATCCACATCAAATTGGTATCAGATTTCAGGGGTTTTTGATCGTTCAACAACTCGTTCATCAAATCGCACTTGTTCTCGGATAACCAGTTTTTCTGTCAACTTCAGAAGGCTCGTTCTCCTTCGTTACAAAGTCTTTGCAGGTGATTCTTTTTTTGATTTTGGGTGAAATTTTGTCTACTTTCTGCCTGTGAAATTTCAGAATTTTTCGCGTTCGTTTGCTATTAAACTGGACTGTTTTCCGCAACTGTGTCAGTTTTGGTCCGATTTAATACTTACTGCTCTTTGTGTGCGATTTTGTTCCAAGTTGTGTTGCGATTTTTGTGGGATATACCTGTGTGGATAAGGGTTCTTTTAAGTCTTTTTTTTTGTCTTATAATTATGGAGGAAGCTTTGAGCAAACTCATGGATGAATTTGCAAGATTGCAAGATAATACGGAGGCACGTTTTAATGCTTTTTCACAATTATTGCTTGATAAAAAGAAAAAGAAGAAAAAACGGCATGATAGTGATAGTGATGCTTCTAACAGTGATGATGATACCCATTATAATAAAAAGTTCGATGATAAAGGTATCAAGCTTGATGATTTTACGGGTCTAGGAAGCCCCGAAGATTTTCTTGAGTGGGCGAGACAATTAGAGAAAATTTCAGATTATAAGGGTTTTGATGATTCCCAACGATTCAAGATTGCTTATATTAGACTCACTAAGAATGCGGGAATTTGGTTCGATAATTTGAAAGCACGACGTGCTAGAGCAGGAAAAGAAAAAATCAAGACTTGGACGGTTTTGAAAAGGAAGATGCGTTCTAAATATCTTCCACATGATTTCGAACAAATTCTATATGTGAAACTCACTATGTTGACACAAGATACTAAGAGTGTTAATGAATATATTGCTGAATTTGATAAACTAACCTCTCTTTGTGATTTGGAGGAGAAAGAACCATTGCGGATTGCTCGATTCCTTAAGGGTCTTAATCGACCTATTGCTAAGAAGATTGATTTGAGTACTTATGAGTCATTCAATGATGTGTGCAAATTAGCTTTGAAGATTGAAAGTCATTGGCTCGAAGATAAGAAGAGCACAAGTACAAAGAGTTTTGGTACCAAGTCCTCACAAGGGACCGAAACAAGCAAAACTTTCAAACCTTCTAAACCGAGTTCCAACGAGTCTAAGGGAGAAAGCTCAACAAGTGGAGAAAAGAAATTTGTTAAGATATCTAAAGAAGAGTTCGAATCCCGAATTAGGTGTTTCAAATGTCAAGGAAAGGGACATAGGACGGATCAATGTCCTTCCAAGAAAGCTCTCACAATAAGACAATACGAACAACAAGTAGAAGAAGAGAAACACATAGTTTTTGGGTGTGACGAAGAGGAATCCGAAACTAAGGCAACAAGTAGTGAGGAAGAGAACGATGAGATTGATCCCGAAGATGATGAAAAAGTGCTTGTGTTAAGGAAGATCCTCCATGCCGAAGCAATCCCTAACAAATCTCAACGTGAAAACTTATTCCATACTCGTTGCAAAGTAGGAGATAGATCATGCAAGGTGATCATTGATAGTGGTTCATGTACCAATGTGGCGTCCACAGAGATGGTTACTAAGCTCAACCTTCCAACAAGAGTACATGAGAATCCTTACAAGTTGAGTTGGCTTGATGATTCTAAGGGACTTCATGTGAAGAAACAAGCCTTAGTAAGCTTTTCCATTGGCAAATACAAAGAAAAGTTATGGTGTGATATTATTCCTATGAGTGCTTGTCACCTTCTTTTAGGGAGACCTTGGCAATTTGATCGTCAAGTTACACATGATGGTGAGGCAAATACGTATTCGGTCAAAATAGGAAACAAAAGGTTCAAACTCAATCCTCTACCCCCTAATTCAAGCTACGGTCATACCAAAGATAAAGAGAAGCAAGTGCCGAATTTCTTTTTGAATGCTAAGGAACTTGAGAGTGAAGTAGAAAAGGGAGCCACGGTCTTTGCCTTAGTGATAAAAGAGGCGAAATCCACAAGTTCCTCAACAAACATGCACATAGAAGAGTTGCTAGATGAATTTAAGGATGTGTTCCCAGAGGAACTTCCTAAAGGTCTACCTCCTTTGCGTGGAATAGAGCATGCTATTGATCTTATTCCCGGAGCTCCTCTACCTAATAAACCAGCCTATAGGTGCGATCCTACGGCTTCCCAAGAGCTTCAAAGACAAATAGAGGAATTGATTGAAAGAGGCTATGTTCGTGAAAGCATGAGCCCTTGTGCGGTTCCAGCTTTACTAGTTCCAAAGAAAGATGGTACATGGAGAATGTGTATTGATTCAAGAGCGGTCAACAACATTACTATCAAGTATCGATTTCCTATGCCACGACTAGAAGATATGCTTGATGAGTTACATGGTTCTATCATATTTTCCAAGATCGATCTTAGAAGTGGCTACCATCAAATGCGAATTAGAGAAGGAGATGAATGGAAGACTGCTTTCAAAACTAAGCAAGGATTATATGAATGGATGGTCATGCCTTTTGGGCTATGCAATGCGCCAAGTTCATTCATGAGGCTCATGAACGAGGTACTTAGACCCTTCTTAAATAAGTTCATTGTCGTTTACCTTGATGATATATTAGTCTATAGTCGAGATAATATTGAACATATTGATCATCTTAGAAGATTATTTGAAACCTTAAGAGAACAACAACTATATGGCAAACTTGAAAAGTGCTCATTCATGGTTCCAAGTATTTCTTTTCTTGGCTATATTATTTCGGGAATGGGTATTGAAGTGGATCCCGAGAAGGTGGCTGCTATTTCTACTTGGGTGGCACCTAAAAACATTCGTGAAGCACGTAGTTTTCATGGTCTTGCATCGTTCTATAGAAGGTTCATTAGAAAACTTTTCTAGTATCATGGCACCTTTCACGGAATTGATGAAGAAAGGGGACTTTGTGTGGACTAATTCGGCGCAACAAGCATTTGAGACAATCAAGGAAAGACTATGCAATACACCGGTTCTAGCTTTGCCTAACTTTGATAAATTGTTTGAAGTTGAATGTGATGCAAGTGGAGCAGGTATAGGTGCGGTTCTAATTCAAGAAGCACGACCTATCTCTTACTTTAGTGAGAAACTAAGTGGTGCAAAGTTGAACTACTCTAACTATGATCGTGAATTTTTATGCTATTGTACGTGCTTTGGATCATTGGTCTCATTACTTAAGACCAAAACCTTTTGTGCTACATTCGGATCATGAAGCTTTGAAGTATATTCATGGACAACAAAAGTTGAATTATAGACACGCCAAGTGGGTTGAGTTCCTACAGTCTTTTACGTTTTTCTTCAAAGTATAAGGAAGGCAAAGCAAATGTGGTTGCCGATGCACTATCAAGGAGATCTTATTTGCTAGCCATGGTGGATGCTAGGATCATTGGTTTTGACCATATACTTGATTTGTATGCAACCTGTCCGGATTTGGCAAAAGAGTACCAAAGACCCTTCACGCAACTTTGTACTTCAAGATGGCTTCTTATTTCAAGTAACAAACTTTGTATTCCCCAATGTG